AAAACATCCAGTTGATCCGACAGTGATTAGAGAAAAAATCCAGAGCCACTAAATCTCAGTTGTTTTTAATTCTTTATGCGACTAAATAATTAAATTTCCCTTAATGGTAAAAAAGTCTATTTCCAACTAGAAAAAAGGCAAGTACCTGTTTAAAAAAAAAATCCATATATGTATTATTTTTTAAGTAATCCATTTTGCTCACTGTGGTTCAAGGATGTGGTTTCCATTGCCGAGCACATAAGCCGCAGTTCGTGTCTCTACTGGCAAGCCAGTGACACACAGGGCCTTGGAGAAGCTGAGCAGAAAAGGGTGATAGAAGAACTAGTGCTGATCCAGCTGCGTGCATCCACAGGGATCACTGCAGCACCTCAAAACTGGTGTTATTTTGCTAGTGGTTATTATGGGAGCTAGAGACCAAGACTGTTGGGCTCTTTTCTACCCCCTTCACAACAATTTTAGCAGAAGATTTGCTGTTTCACCTAACCTCACAATATACAGAAGCTGGCACCACCTTTAAAAGATACTTAATATTTTAAAGAGGGATGGGAACAAGGACAGGAGCATGAAGAGAAACAAAGAACTTCCCATTGCTCGCATCAGGTCCACACTCACTGTAGAACTGCTGGCTTCCAGAGTGTTAGCAACACATCAGAGCTGAAGTGCAACTCTCTCTGCAATGAAAAACCTCTTTGAAACCCTGGAAATCACTGGGTTTTGACTGAGGCAATTAAGGCTAATTAAGGGGAAAAAAGCTATTATGGATAGAAGAGACAGCTCCTTCATAACCATTTAGCCCACACAAGTCTGTTTAGATGACTGATGGGATGCTCTGCACCCATGGCCACATCTGGGACCCGCAGCAAGAGTGACCAGAGCACCCTCCCAAGCTGTTAAGAGCAGCAGGCAAGGCCTGGGGAAGCTTAGGCAGGCATTCTGACCCCTATCCATGTGTGCACTGCTGCTCAGCAGTCCCTCCTCTCTGCAAGGGTCAGACCCCCCTGAGGCCAGCAAAGCCTCAGGACAGCAATTCCAAAAACCCTGAGGACACCCACAAATGCTTGTCAGCAATGGATGTTGTGCTGACTTCAAGGACAAGTGTGTAAATGCAACTGTGGTTCAACTCACATGTGTACTAATGCACGAGAAAGACTTCAAAGCATCCCTGTGCCTTCTGGCCCATTTCTTCAAGCTCACTCTACACGAAAAGCAGCTCAAACTCATTTCCAGGACAGAAATCATTATCCTAGACTGTATTTGTACAAACCAAGACAGTGAAGGGAGTCTGTGATTCACCTTGCTAGAGCCTGCATTCCTGTTAGCCAGTCTCCCCTCCAGTGCTACCGCAGCACACCGATTTGTGGGCATACTCGCTGCCTTCAAATCAGCCCAAAGCCATTGCTGTCTCCCACATGCTTTGCTGCTGCCTGACCTGCTTGGCAGCGGGATCCACAATCATCAGTCTGGTTGCTAGGGAAAAGACCCAAAAACAAAAAAATAAACCCCTGTTGCCTTTCTGTTGAGGCAGCAATACCCAGCAGGATGGTAAGCAAAGGGGAGTGGTGGCAGCAGCCAAGCTTAACCCACCACTGCACACCTCCCAAGGACTGCCAGTGCTGCCATGCTCTGGGATACCGCTCACGAGAGGATTTACGAGTAAAACACAAAAAAAGCTAAACAGAACCAAACCCAGTGCCCCTCCTCACCCCCAGAGCTACACGGAAAACCACACCCCAGCTCTGGGTGCCTTTGCACTCTTCCTCACGTCTGGCCCTACTCCCAGGACCGAGCTAATTGGAGCCATGGGTTGTGTCACCCTGTCACTTGTTGGGAGCAGCTGGAGGCAGATTTCCTATTTTGGATCTGGCAGGAGAGAGCAAAGCTGAGGCCATCCAGCTGCCATGCTCCACTCCTTGTCAGGCAGCACCAGGGAAAGCACAGGAAGGGCAGACAGCAGGGATGAGCACCCAGTGATGCTCCCAGCACACAGGCACTCCAGAAAGGGGCAAGTGTGAAACCCAGTGCTGAGGCAGACAAGAGCCAGGGCTTTTGTCCCTATCTTCCTGAAAGCATTTTGCCTGCAGTGACCATCTCTGGGCATGACATAACCAAATCCTTGAAGGGCAGAAAACCTGGCTTTCCCCTGTCACATTATCTTCACTATTATCCCACTGAGATAGGGAAAAAAGCAGGAAGGTGAGTGTCACTTCCCTCTTCAAGATCCCCAAGGGCTCTTAAAACCAGTGACACCACAGCACCAACTTGCTGCGGAGAGATCAGACTGCTTCAGCTTGTACAGGTATCTGCAGAGATCAGCCTTTTCCCACGGGCTCTCATAACCAATTGAATCACTGTTTTGTTTTGTTTTTAAATGTTACTTCAAGTGTACAGTCGATAAACACCTAAGAAGTGGTTCACCAGTTGTCAGCATCCAACTTAGTAATGCCTCTAGCTCACTTGAAGAATGTTTTCTGACCTGCTATCAACACCTTGCCCAGAGCACTTCAGGAGCAGTGGTACACAAGGGCAAGAAGGATTTTAGGTTTTCATCTACAAATAAAGCAAATAAATGCATATTAGATCATAAGCCTAGCTCAGATGAAGAGCAAGTATTTCCCTTTATCACAAAAGCATGAAAAGTGTGGTGCTCCAGCTATCCCCATCCATGGTAGCACTTAAGTCTTGACAGCGCTGAAGCAGTTAACTTGCCATCTGTTGGAGCATTGGGTCCACAGCCAGAATGGAAGTGCCAAAAGCCAAGGCTGCAACAAGTGGTTAGGGATCAGAGGATTCACGAGCCGTGCTGAGGAAAAGCCCATGAACAAGAGCTCATTTAATAACCTCCCAAGCCAGCACACAAAACAACTCATTGGATGCAGTGCCAAGGTGCTGAGGGGAAGAGTGTGAATGGAGGGGAAATACTGCTTGTGGGCAACCCCAGCCCCAGGAGCTCCCTCCTTGTGGATGGATAAGTGAGAGGGGAACAGTTGCCTGTGCCCATGAGGCTGCAAGAGCAGCTGCCACAGTGGTCCAGTCTGGCTGCAAGGGAAGCTGACAGGAGGGACCCCTCCTCTCCTCCTGCTCCCACAGCAGGCTGAAGGCAGATAAGCATCACGTGTAGTACCCTAGTAGCTGCCCTGCTCCCCACATCCTCCTTCTTCCAGTTCCCCATTGCCGTTAATTCCCATGCACTGACCAGCTGTGTTAATTATCTGTCTTCTCCTGCAGACAACCTGAGAAAACAGCTTTTAACAAAACAGCTCCAAGTTCGGGGCAGGGGAAAGAACACAGAGAAATTAGAAGACACCAAAGCACTGCTTTCCCGCTCCCCCTCCTCACTAAGTACAAACCCTGTGGTAGAAGTTTTCCTCCTCTGACAGTTTTTATTGCTTCCCCCTGTCCTGCAGCAAAGCCTGGCTGGCTTTTAAAAGCCTCCTGACAGATCCCAGGACTAGGGCCCTGTGCCAGACACCAAAAAGGGGTTTGCAAGAAGAAAAAGGAAGAAAAAATAAAACCCCAAAAAAGCCCCAGCTCTGGAAGCCAACCACAGAGAGGATTCCACTCCCAAAGCTGAAATATCATGTGCATGTGTACGCTGGATGCCAAAGGAAAGACAGAGGAGTATCAGTTGAGGGGGGGAAGAGAGGGAAGGGGTAAAAAAAGAAAAGGCAAAAAGAAATCCCAGCTTTCAGACTCCAGAGGGCTGGCTGGGAGAGGCAGCAGCTGAAAGAAATGCTCTGCTGTTATTACTGCATGGAAATTACAGCCGCCAGAAGGAATCCAGGCCAATCTGTTGCTGAATATAACTTTAAAAAGACATCCAGCCTCAAAACATGGGCCATTCCTGGGCATCACAAGGCCAGCACAGTGGTGGGACCCGTAGTCTGCTCCCCACTGCCTTCTCAATAGCAAAAGCCGAGAACAAAGACAAACCAGAAAGAGGCAGAAGAGCAACAGATGTACAACAGGTGGGACAGAAGGACTTGGCTCCTGCATTCCAGATCCCCCAGGTTTTGGGAGAAATGTGTTAACTAGGGAGCCATCAGTTGCTGGCCTCCGGAAGGAAGGAGATGTTTGGGCTGGTTCCTGGAAAGGAGCTTAACTTCTCAAGAGTTCCCTTTTTATTTTTTTTTTCATTGAAATCTACAAAGGGGAAATGCTGCAAATACAGCTCTGGGTGTGCAGCAGGAGGGGGGACACAACAAGAGAGGGAAACCCACTGCTATTTACAGCAGGCCTGTAACCAGGCACAGTCAGGGAGAGGGCTCAGGCATGCAGCTTCGTAGGCAAGCAGGGAAAACCAAAGGAGAATCCTTTCCAGAAGGTAATTTCAGCTCTAGGTGAGAACAGGACATTGGATCAGACGGGTCCTGTCCCCAGCCCCAGCAGTCTGCACTCCAAGCCAGCTCCAGCCTGGCAGCCAGCCCCTCCTGCAAGCGTCTCCCCCTCGTCTGTGACGGATCATTGGAACACAGGGCAAAAATAGGGGGTTTCATCTCCCAGCAAGCCAGCATGCTGTCAGATTAATAAAAATCATGCTAAGTTTAACCATAACACACAGAGGCTCCACCTGCCCCTCCTGGAGAACATGAGTCACGAGCTCACCGAGCTTCACATCCCATTGCCAGGGCCTCCATCAGCTACTTTTATATCCCTTTGGATAGGAAACGAGATATGCTTCCAAGAAGTCCCCCTTCTTCCCAAACGTGCTCTGGGGACAGCAGCAGAGAACAGTGGGAGAACCTGCTATGCTGCAATTCATCTTTTGTGCTTTTAGCCGTCGTGACTTCGGGTTCTGTGCTTGGGCCACAGCCAACATTCAACAAACGCTTTGACTGCCATGGCAGGAGATGTTTTGGGCAGTACAGGGGCAGCGGGAGGCAATTTTAGTCTGACCTTCTTGCTGCTCACCTGGAGCTTTCCGCCCTACTTTTGGGCACACTGCAGTTCCCCCTGGGGCACGATACCCACGCAGCAATGCCAGCATGCTCACACCTACTTACCGACATAGAAGGTGTTAGGGGCCTGCTTCTCGCCCAGATGCAGGTAGAGGATATTCGTCGTCTGTGAGTCATGCCGAAGCCACAGGGCCACTCCCAGGATGATGCCCCCTGCCAGCTGGGGAGAAAGCAGAGGGAAGCGGATGTTACCCACTGCTCCAGCAGCACCAGACCCCAGGCAGCAGTTTTCAGGTGGGAGCAGAAGGCTTGCTTTTCATCTTTCTGCAAAGTCTTATTTATTCTTTCACGTACGAGAGCATCCTTCTCAACCATTGTCCTACCCCTGCAACGTGCTTTGTGCCCCATACCACATGAGCCGCACAATCTTCCCTGCTTTGTGAAAAGATCCCTCATTCTGGCGATGTGCAAAGCCCCTTCCAGTTCCTGCAGATGATTTCTTTCCTAAAAGCACTTTTGTTACTCAATTAAAATGGAAGGCTCAGCCTTACCCAAGAAGCACGACACGTGCAACTCAGGCTTTCAGGAGAGCTTTTTAACAGAACTTAGGATCAGCCCTAACTAGACCCTTTTCCCAACAGGCTGTCATCACCCCATTTCATTTCTCTGTGATGTACAAAGAGAGTTTTGTTTGATCTATGGAGACCTTGGTAGGAAGGATGAGGAGACTGTGGCTTAGAAAGCGGGAGCTTTTTCCCCTCAGCCTCCAGTCTCATGTGCCCATTACTTTCCATTACTTTCCATTCATGGTCAGGCTTCCACTCTGAGCAGACCTAGCGCTCCTCTGGCAGGAAAGGCTTTCCTTAACATCCTAATACAGGGATTGAAGCAGAGCAAAGCCTCAGCACAGGCCAAGGTACAACCATACCGCTTTTGGAGGCTACCATGAAGATGCTCAACAGAGCTGAGCAGCTCTGCAAGTCAACAAGGCTGAAACATCGCTGCCTCGCCTGCTGCTGCCTGCTCCAGCAGAAGAGCAGAGCACTCACACACACGTGGAAGCCCCCAGGGCAAGGGCAAAAACACATCCAACACAGGAGATGTTCTGCGCATGGAGCATGGACCCAGCTTACCGCTGGAATACTTATGTCCAAGTTATGTGAAGTCTGATGACTGACTTCCTCACTGTTTTCTCTTTCAGGGCGGGGCTGGGAATGGCAGGGGAGCATGGGAGCAGAGTGGGGGCACTGCAGCAGGGAGGGCGTCACTGAGAGGAAGTCCAGCCAGAGTTCCAGCAGGACTCGCTGTGCTCCCCATGCCACCCATCCCCTCTTCCATTTAAAACCACGAGGGGAGGGGATTATAAACACATGCAAAAAACCCCAAACAACAAACCCTTAAGAATGTAATATCACTTCTACGAAAGGCTGGAAGCCCCTGTTCAAAGGACGATGTAATCTTGAGAGTCCTAAACCCTCGAAGCCACTCATCTTAATAAAGGGAAGTTAAGTACCAAAGACTGGAGAAGTGCAAACATGGTTTCTTTCAACAGGGTAAGAGCCAGGTCAGCGATGGGCATGAGAGGCCCCATGACAGTCACACTGAAAAAAAAAGTTTGTTCAGTGGAAGTGCAAAGTCTTCAGTTGTGAGGCACAACAGAGCCTCGGTGAACACACAGGGACAGGGATGTGCAAGACAGGCTGTCAGGAGGTCAGCTGGTGATTCTTCTCCTTGATCATTTCTGCAGGTCCCAGCCAAGGGATTTTTAGAGGGGTGCCATAGAAGCCAGGCAGAACCACACAACTGATGCAAAACCCACAGGGCAAGCTGACCCTGGGGATTTTCTATGTATCAGAGGGAGAAAATCCCTGCTGAGCTCCCTGGAGCAGGAGGGAAGATTTTACAAGTCTTTCCCCAATTAGCCTGCAAAATAATCAGCTTTTAACACTTCTTCCACAGCAACCAATGCAACTTCCCCACTCGCACTGTCCATCACCCCTCTTGCACTTGGGAGAGCCCAAGGTTCTCCAAACACTGGCTATGGAGAAAAGTCATGAAAGCCGGCATATGCTCAAATCCAACTCCAAATAAGGCAGCTTGTGGCTTTGCAGAAAGTTACCCAAATCCAGCCTGGCATGGCTCATTCATTGTCTGAGGGCATAACGAAGTCAGTGTTTATCCTCTCGGGAGAAGAAGAATGTCCCCAAATTAATCAGTGCCACTCTTAAAGAAAAGGTCTCTCAGGGGCTCCCAGGGGAGAAGAGATCCCAAGGAAGTTTTGGGGGTTTGTGCTGGTTGGGAGAGATGAAGAAAAGGCAGCAGCTCTTCTTGGTTTGTTTTTCCCTGTGCAAGGAAACACTGCTCTGCCCTGCCATGCTGTCCTCTGCACCCAGCAGTACCCACCTCAGCACCCCCTGCCACCTATGGACAGGTTGGGGCAACACCAACACAAGCAGTAGCAGCTGCTTTCTGGTCAAATTTGTCCTAAAGCATCTGACACAGAATGGAAAGCAGGCTGCAAGCTATCCTCAAGATACTTCTCAGTCATTCGGGAGCATCAGCTGAAGGGATAGAGCCTCTTCAGACTCATCAAACCCACCCCAGTGGTGAGGTCCGCTGATGGCAGCCAGCTGAACCATCTCCAGATGTTCCCAGTTTCAGCCTGAATGCGCCCCAGGAACATCCCACGTCTCTCCCGCTCTGCCCGACTCCATTTGCTTTTTTAACAGAGCACGGAAGACCTCTGAATGGAGGTTTTAATCCAACAGCAGCTGGATTTCTTAAGAGAAAATGACATTCACTTACTAATGAAAACAGGGTTTAAGCTATGGTGAATAACTTTTTCCATGAAATCCATACAACCTTCCACCACCAAGAAGCACAGGGAGTAATTAAGGCATTTTTCTTCCCAAAGGAAAGCAGACAGGAGGGAGAAAACCTTATCAGCTCACTACAGTAACCCTGCCTTCCACTGCACCTTGCTTGGGATAGTCTCATTTTAATACAACTTGTTCCAGATATAAGCTTGGTATATTCTTCCCTTCCCATCTGACAACCACTGCTGTTTGACCATAGGAGCAGCTCCAATGGCAGCATCATGCTCATCTCTAGGCTGCATACCCTCATACATTAAATATTCCTGGGATTTATTTCTGCTGTAGGTATCTGTGATCTCATGCAGGCTACCACTGTTTTTCGTGTGCCCAGCTTGTCAGATGGCAGTGTCAGAGGACGGGGCCATCACTTGTCACAGGTGTACCCTAAGATTTCCAGTCACATTTCTGGGGACTGCTTTAATAAAAGCAACACTCTAAAACGTGCAACTTCAGTAGCACCAGCGCTTTTAGACCTGTTTGCCACAAGCCAACCTCCCTAGCTGGCCATTCCTCTGCCAACACAAAAGCACTGTCAGAGGTGCATCCCCAGTGCTTCCCAGGATGCGGCCGGCCATGGAGATGGCGCCCCAGCAACCCTCCAGCACAGCAGAGGTGGCGCAGCAGGCTCCAGCCTTTCCTCTTTACTGCTATTTTCCAGCTTCCAGAGATTTATTGCTTCTTCCACAGACAGCCAGACTTTTCCAGCTGGATCCTGCCTGCCCAAGGCTTGCTTTTTGCACGGACACTGTTTCCATTTGTCACGGCAGGGAAAAGCCCCCATGGGATGCTGTGTAGGGGAGGGGAAAAGCAGACCCCTAAGGGGTTAGAGTACCACTGGGTGTCATGACGATGGCGGGTGCGCAGCCCTAGTTTGCTGCCCCATCCACCATGCACATAGCAGGACTCCCTACTGGATTAAGCCTCATTGACCGATATGCTTACCCTAAAATCTCCTATATCCAGCTGCAGGGCAAGGGAACAAGCCCATCTTTCAGGGTTGTCACTCCTTCCCTACACAAGAAATTCCCATGATTTAGTGGTGCATGGAATAGAACTGTTTCCCCCTTTAATGTGAGGCACCCCATGTCCAAACTGCTCCCACCTTGGCCTGTTACTGCCCAGACACTCATGCCAGGATGTGTATCACCCCCTTGTCCCTTCCGCTACCCCCAGCCCTTTTCCTCCTGCTCCCTTTCCAAAATAGGTTTCCTGGCAGGGGGGGAGGAGGAGGAAGAGGTAGTCCTGGCTATAGGGTGGCTTGCTGGAAGTGTCAAAGAGACACAGACATCCTGCAGCTCGAGCCGTGGAGGAGGGAAGTGGAGGTGCCAGCAGTTTCACAATGCTGTATTTTTAGCAGTGCCGCTTCCCGCAGCCACAGCCAGTCCTGCCGCTGAAACGCTGCTGCTTCCCAAACCGCTGCTTCCCAAACCGCGCGAGCCACAGGGCCGGAAGAGCCTCCTGCCCTCCTGCAAAAACGGCACTGGCGGAGCCCACACCATGATAACTGTGAAATCATAGAGTGGTTTGGGTGGGAAAGGAGCTTAAGATCATTTGGTTCCAATCCCCTGCCATGGGCAGGGACACCTTCCACTAGACCCGATTGCTCAAAGCCCTATCCAAGCTGGCCTTGAACACTGCCAGGGATGGGGCAACACAGTTACTACCAAGAAACCAGATACTGCCAATAAAACTCATCAGATTTAGGCTGGTTTATGATTTGGGTAGATGATCAGAGATTTTCAACAAGTTTTGACACACGCAGACTTGCAGCTTCCCTTACACTGCCTCAAAGCTGAGCCCTTTGGTGGGCAGCAGCAGCACCTGGATCCTTCTCAAGGCTCCCCATAGCTCCTCTCCAGCACAAACTGCAAAGCAACTGAGATGTAGTATAACTGAATTCTCCTCCATTTAAGTGTGGGGAAGTGGGACACAGAAGGACAAAATGGCTTGCCAAGGCTGAAGTATCTTGCCATGCAGAAGCCACTTGCACAGCCAGGAATGAACTGCTAATTTGGGTTTGAATGCTTCGCTTCCAGGTTATCCGTGAGTGTCTAGAGCAGCAGATACCATATTCTCCAGTATGTGCAGCGTGAATAATGAAAAATCATTCTGTCACCTCACCTAGTGTGAGTGGGGAAAAAAACGCAAGAAGCTAGAAACTTATAACTTGATGGAAATTGTCTTTGGAAGAGCGATATGCGCTCTTGCAAGACGCATGCTAGCGCCTTACGTGTTCTGCACTACCGCCTCGAGGAGCAAGGCAGGCAGGAGAGGAACACACAGCTACCGGTGGCAGGCACACAAATGCAGGCAGCACTAAGCCTGCCAACACCCTTCCTAGAAA